AATCATTACTTTTGCAAATACAACTTAGAAATTACCCGCTGCAGCTTTAAAGTTTTAGTTGAACGTGTATGGTCTCTGATAATGTATCACTAGGCATTTGACACAATTTTTTTTAAAGAACTGCTCGCAAACAGCAATTATGAGCTGGGCTGAGTTCTAGATTGTTTCTGTTCCAACACCCCAGCTGAGATTCATGCCTATAATAAAGGGCCTGTACTGGTTCAGTAATAGTGACTTTCCGACCATTAGATAAACAACAGATACAATAACAGCCTCCAATTACTCTGTGCCTGTAATGATCCGAAATAAACATACAAATAAACTGCATTTGCACATCCACTGACCAATGACATTCAAAAGAACTAAGAAACACTAAACATGCAGAACACATTGCCAATCAGTGTTGATTTTAAAGGAAATAAATGTGATCATTATGCATAATGACATTCTCTCTCTCTCTATGCATCTTGTTCTTACTCTCCGTTGCCTCCTCTTCTTCCAGCTCCATTCAAATGATTCTGTACACAAAGGCCACTGTGACATTTTGTGCAGAAAGCGACTCAGAAAGACCCATCCTAATTACAGGCCCTTCACAGCATGCCAGAGCCCACTTAAAACTGAGAATGAAAGCAAGAAGAAAAAAAAAACGCCTAGTCCAAATGCCACTTTCTATTCTTCTCTAGCGCCTCTTAAAGCAGCACATCAATAGCGAGGTCTCTTGATATGTAGAATGCTTCAGTCCGTGCTGTGTAGCTACAAAATAGCTCTCTGCGGCGGGCGACGTTCAGATCTGTGAATGGCAGGTGTGAGGTGGTGGCATCCCGTCATTTGGTTTCCTGATGGACGCTTAGTAAAGACAATCAAGGAGAATGGTGAGTTGAGTTAAAATGACAGATTGTTGACCGCTTTTGACCCCTTTTAGGGCTTGCTGAGCTCATCAGTGTGATGGTGGAATGTGCAGGAGGTTTGTGTGATTGCAGTAATGAGTCCAGAGATTGGCTCACACACACTGCGGCCACTTCAGGAGATCGTGGTATTTGAGGAACGTGGTGATTATATGACCTGTGGACTTTTGACTTTTGAGACTGGTGGAAAAGAGCAAGAAGTTCTCTAAAGAGAACCTGTGAAAAATGTCTGACTGAACATGAAACTATTGCTGTATCTTTCAACATATCTTCTGATGTTAACTGATGTTTATTTAGTGCTATAATTAGTAGTAAAGAGGAACAGATGATTGCTTCACAGAATTTCACAGAATGCTGAGACTTTCAGATCAAAAGTAACAAAGCTTATGGCAAATATTGGATGGGATGATTGCTAAACAATGCTTAGTTTTCATGTATCAGTAGAAAACAGCACAGACTAAGAGATCTTGTTTCATCACTATCATTGTGTGCACGTAATAAACACTAAATAAACACAGTCAAAATGCACTAAACATTGCTGTTTCATCAATGTCCAAACCAAAAATCATTATTTTTTTTATTCTGGCTGAATAGTTGGCCAAGTTTCACAAAAATTTCAGCGCATCACTAAATTTAAATAAGTATGTTGAAAATAACACTTAATGTTAAATCATTCATTCGTTCATTAATCTCTCCATTCATTAATTTCTTCATTCATTGATTTTTTTTATTCAATCATGTTTACATGTTCAATATTTCATTCATTTGTTCATGCATTTGGTTATTCATTAAATATTTTGCTCATTTACTGATTCATTTGAACATTTGTTCATTCATTATTTCATTAAGTTGTTCATGTACTGTATTAATTTCTTTGTTTGCTCACTTATTGAGTTCATCCATTATGCATTCATGCATTCTTTAATTTGTTCATGTGTGAATCCTATAACTCTTTAATTTGCTCATTTGTAATTTCATGCATTGACTCATTTTTTTATTTGTTCATTCATTAATTTCTATCTTTATTGGTTTATCGGTTAAAGCCAACTTCCCTCTCTAACTAACTACTGTTATCAGAGAGTTATCACAGGTACATTCGATATAAACAGAGATTATACGAAAAACAGGGCAGCACAATAATGTCACAGCACAATATTTGCTGAACTCACAGAATCCGTTGAGGTCCTGGTTGCTGGTGGAGAACGGATCGTCCTTGTGTAAGGTGCTGACTTTTCCTGTGCTTTTATCCGCTGTGCCTACGGGTCCCATCTCTCTTTGCGTGCTGCTGCTGGCTGTCTCCTTCTGTTTTTTAGCTAGTTTCCTTCAAATCCATCCACAACAGGGCAAGTTTATACACATGATCAAAAGAAGACACTTCAGTGCTGGTGCAATGCTTTTGGCTAGTGCAAACTGTTTAACTGTTGTACAAACATGTTTAAATGTGCAAAGGCAATAACTTTTTTTTTTTATTGGGGGGGGGGCAAACAAAGGTTATTAAAATCAGTTATCAAGTTACAGTAGTTACTGCTAGACTTGCCGGTTTTAGGTTAGACATATATGTATAGTATAAGAGCATAATAGTAACAGTATACAGCACTAAACCAAAGCACTGCCACAACACTGCTGTAAAACTGACATACAAGATATACAAGGCAAACACACACGAACAGACACTGGGCACATAGAGGACAAGAAGTGAGGCTGGCATTTGGCTATTCCAATGGCACTGACTGTAAGATTTCTGTATTATCATCTAAAATATATATTCTGCAGTGATATATGCCAGTGAGTGAGAAAGAGAGAGAAGAAAAATCACAAACCTACTCAGATCAAGAGAGAGAAGCTCAAAACCTTGCCATGCAGAACAAAGCCAATTGAACACTACAAGTCTATTGATCAGGAAAGACTTGTACACGAACACATTCACTTGCAAACAAACATATTAAAGTACTATACATTAATAACATATTAATATATTGCAATGCTTTCTCTTAAAGGTCCAGTACAGAACTGTTGCAATGGGCAGCGCACACATGGATGACAGCTGCAATGTTTCATTAACTACAGATAGCATCGCACTATGAAAGTATTATATCGTTGTTAAAACTGTGACATGTTGAATAAGTGACCTAGCGGTTATGTCTTTGACACACTGAGCTGTGCTGTTTAAATGTGGTTTGCAACATTTCCTGATCTCATCCCACCTCTTCACCTGTCATTTCCTGCCTTATTATCCATAAAATGGCCTCAAAATATAATCAAATAAAAGTAATCTATGGCAGTTTTTATAAAGGCAGCAGACTTCACTTCTGCTGCTCCTTGATTTGTTGATTTGTCTGGCCGTTCATAAGCTGAGGTCTCCCCACACTTTAGTGCACAGAACTTCAAGGAAGATATTACTGTCAGCAATGGATTGGAGTCATCCAATAAAATGACTCTGATTCTCCAGGTCCCACGGAACACCATTTGACCTCAATATGTGCTCCCTTCTCTTACGGGGCCAAGCTGATAATAAGTCTTTGTTTTGTTATTTTCTCTGCTGGGAATTTAAAAAAATCAAATAGAGTTTCAGCTTCTACAAAAACCAGGCCAACCTTTAAAATTGGGGCCATTTAACCTAGGTTGGAAAATAAATTCAGTAACATTGGTTTTTGGTGACTGAGGATCAAAAGAGGACGAAAAGTGTTCAGAAGCAGGTCTTAACACCAAGAAGTAATAAGAGAGGGGTCACGACTTTCCAATTAAGCAGCCAAGCATCAATGTGATGGCTAGAAAGTGCTGAGATTTCGTTGTAGAAACTGCAACGCACAACCTCTATACCAAAACCTAGAGTGCTCCCTACCAAGACAGCATAGTCAACAACCATTGGCTCATCCCACAATGTATGTTGAAGGTCACAGTATTTTGTAATACAACAGCCATTAGATAACCCATTGATTGCTGCAGTAATAGGTCTCGTTTCAAGTGCCAAATTCTGGACATATTGCAAGTGGCATAAACTATAGATAATCCTTATTTAATGAATGTCAGAGCAGCACTTCATTAAAAGTGAAGGCTATAATATAGTTAGGGCACCATAAACAGTATTTATAGCACCAACTTTTGTTAATGGCTTTTTGTAAAAGAGAAAGAGCAAGGGGGGAACAATGAGGAGATAGCTGTAAAATCTGGCTTGATTTTGCTCTTCATTCATGCATAAAATTCACCAAATGTTCATTAATAAGGGTATCACACTTGAATGAGCTAAAACTAGAATGGAGGAAATAGTACAAAGACAAGGCAGCTGGCCAGGAAGTGCACGTCTAAGCAGTGTTAGTAAGCATGCAGAAGATCTCAAAATAACCTTTACATTAACCACTATTATTCAGTTGCTTGCATGCATAAGGTTAACTTGTAGGGCATGTCATCAGGAAGGACAAAGTCATGGGTTTGATTCCCAGGGAACACGGTGTTAAAACTCTATTGATGTCTTTGAATGCCCTTAAGTCACTTTGTATAAAAGCATCTGCCAAACGTGTAAATGCATGCACAAAAAGTTTTTGGAGTAGACATGCTGATGAATCTGGAATAAACATCAAAAGCACCATATATTATGACTGTTGTATCACCCTAAAATCATAGTACATTTCAAATAAAGGGCCAGATTTACTAAACGGGGCAAATTAGTGTTAGAGTGCAATTCCATAAAAGCACCGATGGGAGGGGAAAATTCTACAGGTTATTTACTAACAATGCGCACATTAAAGAACACAGACGCAACCAGATCATTTCCATAATGACCAGCGCAATCTAAAAAAGAGCAGCGAAAATTACCGCCTGCTTTAAGACATGCTTTTTTGGGCATTAATGACGCAAATACCAGTAGTTTGTCGAGCGCAAATGTTAGTAAATCACGTTGCGTGATTCATTTGAATACTCTCCTCGCATAAATTTTCCAACTGAAAGGGAAACTCCTACAAATGCATATTCAATAAGGTCAGGCCCAAAAATAACTGTGTCCATGCCTTTTCAGCACTAATTCTTCACTGCGCAACTTAAGTAAATCCTGACAGTACTATTTTAACGGCAAAAGTCGGTTTGTGCTGGTGCAAGCTGTTAGTAAATCTGGCCCAAAAAGTAATCTGTGTCCTTGTGTAAGGTGCTGACTTTTCCTGTGCTTTTATCCGCTGTGCCTACGGGTCCCATCTCTCTTTGCGTGCTGCTGCTGGCTGTCTCCTTCTGTTTTTTAGCTAGTTTCCTTCAAATCCATCCACAACAGGACAAGTTTATACAGATGATCAAAGGAAGACACTTAACTTAAGTAAATCCTGACAGTACTATTTTAACGGCAAAAGTCGGTTTGTGCTGGTGCAAGCTGTTAGTAAATCTGGCCCAAAAAGTAATCTGTGGTATTGATTTTAAAGTGCTACGCAAGTGTCATGTCTTACTACATACTCAAAAATCTGTAACAGCCAGAACAAATTGGGGAAGCACATCTAACTGCAATTATTATTATCATTATTATTAAGAGATTTGTATTTATGTATATTTATTTATTTAATAATTTATTTAGATATTCAAAATATCTAGATATTTCGAAAGTTAAATCATAGAGCTTTTATTTTGGCTTAAAATGCAGGGAAATGTCTTTTAAAATGCCTTTCTTTGTTGACAACATTTATAAATGCTTCACATTACAAGTTTTGATAATAATCACTACACAGCACATCAGGTTACATATTTATATAATTACAACACAATCATTGCCATTTGATAATCATACTAAACCATAGCGCATTCTCAGGCATTGATAGAATTAATACAAAAAAGGTACTGGCCAACTGGTGAGTAACACTGTTTCATATACCCGTCAGTGCTGTTTTTCAGACGCATTTGGTGCTTGGTGAGTGTTACTTGTAGGCCTTGAATACAAGATTACAAATTGGTATCAAAGTAAAAATTTATTTCCTCATGGTAAACTTTTGTTTGAGACTGGGCAAGGACAAGAGTGAAAATGTGCACTGATTCCGCTACTAAATCTGAACATGCACGCTGAAAAGCCCATAACAACCTCGCTGAATATGAGAACGCCTCGCTCTCTGGGTTTGGGGAATATATTGGCGTCACGGTTAGCTTTAGCCTGTAGCTCTCTGCCTTTGCCCTCTCAGATGATATCCTTTTGAAAGAGCTGTGTTCCTACTTTCATCTATATTTCAGGACCGGGGAGAATGCACATAGTAGTCCGACTGTGAATCTGAGCTTTTAAATCCTTTAACGCATGAGGTAAACATCCTGCAGCTAGGCTCTGTTGCACACAGCGCAAATGAAACAATCCCGCACAGTAAAATGCTGAGGCAGGCATAACAGTCGAGGTAATAGTGAATAGTTTAAGCGTAACGGAAAAGTAATAAAAAGTAGAGGTGGAGTTCGCAGACCAAAGGGATTTGAGCTGAACAAGCAATAGTCGATAATAACAAGATAACAGTGGAGCCACATCAATTTACGTGCACACGAGAGCAATTTATAACTGTGGGCCTTCTAATGTTTCAATGCAATCTAAAAAAAACTGTAGGTATATAGTGCATAAGACGGTTTATGGCCGAAATCGATTGTGTTTGCTACACTGTAAAAAATAAGTGTCATTTTAACTGCAAAATTTTGTAAAAACGCTACGGGAAAAAACTGTTAATAGGTTAACAGTAAGTTCCCGTACTATATACAGGGAAAAAATGTAAAATATCTAACCAGACATTTCATGTAATTTTACAGTAAAATGCTGTTAATTTTACAGTTTTTAGAAGTAAAAATAACAAATCAATGTATAATTTACAGTCAAAAACTGTAAACTGATATTCCCAGAATTCCCTGCATGACACTAATGGAACTACTGTGATGCTGAAATATTGGAGCAAAGTGTGATGAATATAAAACCGATTTAACACTTTGCGATGAAATTGAATTTTTCTTCATTTTGAAAAGCTTTGTTCACCATGGCAAAGTTAGGAGACTTTTGGTACTAAGATTAATTGTCACTTAACTTTAATTTCATTTAATTCATTCTCTTACTTTTACTTCTAATGAACTAAGGAGGTTTTAAAATACTTTTCAGGAATTGTTAAAAGAAAAATTAATAGGAAAGCATAAAAAAAAAATTTCTGTATTTAATGCTACTTACAGGTAATAAGAGTAGGAATACGCATTTCTTCTGGAGCAGCAAGATAAGGACAAAACAAAAATAAGAAAGAAAACAAAACAAAAGAACAACAAAAAAATCAATAAAATATTTAATATAATAAAATAAAAAATATGGAAATATGAAAATATAAATAAAATATAAATATTTAAACAATATGAAAAATACAAATTAAAATATAATAATAATAATAATAAAAATACCACAATAGAATAAAATTTTAAAAATAAAATAAAATATAATAAAAAAATAAAATAAAAAAGGAACCAAAAAAGGACAAACACATTGATTAGTGATCAGTATTGTAAATAAAGAGATGTTTAATGACAAAAATATTAAAACTTCCCACTGTTACATGCTGACCACATAATGTTTTATTTAGACAAGAAAATGCTACACAGCTTCATGTAGCTAAGCTAAGGATTTATGCTACCTGAGGCTGTAAATTTAGGGTTGTAAACGGCCTTTGCATCAGTAATAGTTAGTAATAGTAAATCTGTAAAAAATGATAATTAAACAACAAATGAAATGTATGAAACTGCACATCTGGCTTCCCTTCAAGTGAAAGAAAAAGTGAGAAAGAGAACAAAAAGAAGGAAAAGTCTATATACCTGTACTGGTGGGAGTGTGTGTTTGGACAGCTAAAGAGATGGACAGGAATGGTGGGTGTTTCACAGACATGTTGTAGCTCTGTTCTCTGTTATGAGCTTAAGAGGGACAGAAAGAGAAAGGAGGAGGACAAGAGACACCAAAAGCAGTTGGCGAACACATCACGCTTTTGCTACTCCAAAATGAGGCCTTGTCATCAGAGTTTATCAGCGCTGACGTCTCTGTGGACCGGTTCCTTCCGGGTAAAGACGAGAGGAGGTGACATACGGCAAGCTAGGACGGCGATAGCAGCCTGATACCATAATAAAGACCAGATGGCGTCTGTTAACGGCGATTCGATTAACTGTAATATCGGTGATGACATGCAAGTGAAGTTGTCAATTAGTGACTTCATGGCCGTCTGCATCTTGACTGCGCTCACTGCTTTTTATCGCTCTTCCACAAGCTGCATTCTTTGCTTTTTACAATTTAGAAATGAACTTCAAATTTGCCACTGTGCAAACCTTTACACTGAAACAAACCCATGTTAATAACATGTTTTCATGCTAACAATTGTCAAACAACTTTCAAATTTGGCCATTTTGCTCAAACCTTTCATATAATCATATAAAGTAATAATTAAAATTATAGTAAGTAATAATATAAATGAATAACAAGCTGTAAATTGATTAATATCAAATATCATATATTAATAATATATTTATTAATATAATTAAAAAAAAATAAATATACATAAAATATCCTTTAAAATTTTAATACCAAAAAACTTTAATACAAACCTGCTATTGTAACTAGCTATATTGGCTTTAACATTTTTCAAGTAATGATTTATAAATAACCTTAACATTTTGAGCAAACCTTTACAATGATAAAAACCCCACCAAAGTAATTATATTTCATCTATCATCTATCAATCAAAATGTATAAACCTTCATGACAAAATGAAACTGCTAATGAAATCATACACTAGCCTGAGTTATTAACATGTTTTCACGCTACAAATACCCTCAAAACCTCCCACTTTGCACAAATCTTTACAATAATACAAACCGAAATAATCATGCATCAGCCTGTCAGAGTTATTCTTTGGCACACAGCTGCATTAAGTTACACAAACACTAAATTCTTGCCTGTACGCTTTGTGTATCATAAAAGCAAGCTATAGCACCCAAACTGCTCGCTTTATCGCTAAAGCAGCACCAAAGTAAATATATTTAATGACCCCGTGACTTCTCTGTAGGCAATAAAAACACAGTTTGGGTATGGGCTGTTATGGAAAATGTATTTTGCGACAGGCTGACGGTGCTAAAACAGATGCAAACGCTCGATGCGTTCGGAGGCATGCATATGCAGCGGGGGCATCCATCTTTGGCCATTTCATCTCAATGGCCCTTTAAAATGGCCTGCTGACATTGTTCTGATTATATTAATAAAAGAGAGCGAAGTGAAGAGCACCACGGCGGGCGAAGGTGGCCATAAATATTAATAGAGTAGAACTGCGAGGAGCTCGCAGCATAAGTGGCCTCTTTATTATTTTTTTGGGCTCTCCTGTGATTTATCATCATTCCTGAAACGAGACGCATTTCTGGTGTGAGGAGAAAGTGTGATACCCACAGTGATGTTACACGCATGCACCGCCACTTTACACGGGAGAGAGGGAGGGTGGAGGAAGACGGGAAGAGAAAGCGTTCGGAACTTGACAAAAGGTTGGTTTGTTTAACAAAGTGCCGAAGATTTCATGCAACTTTATTTCAGCTAATGACTGTAAATGAGACAGCGTGGTTTATTAGATCATAAAATTGTTCATTCATCCATTCAGGCTTAAAAGCAAACGCACAATCGGCTGACAAGCATGTAGAAGTGTGCACACATCTCTCACACATCCACATCCACGCCTACCAACATAAAGCCAATATACCAAAGACTTCTACTGCGTTAATATAAAACTAATTATAACTAAACCTAAATGTAGCTCAAAATTATATATATATATATATATATATATACTTTGTTAACTTAATAATATAAACTCGTAATAATATATAAACTATGCTCACATACAACCATGGTACATGTCCAAAAACATAATTTTACCATGGTAAAAAATAAAATAAAATAAAATTTAACACAGTTAAATAAAATAACAAATAAATAAATAAAAAGTATTGCCACAATATGTACATTAAATAAAGTAACAATTTATGCTGGCACTCCAAGGTACTTCAAATAATAGCATGGTACCTCATAATTTGTATTGATACTTTCATATGCACCATATTAATAAATGATCTCTTTCTGTCTCACTCTATATGTGTGCTGTTTTATGCTATCACATTGTCCCCCTATAGCAGTCATCTATTATTTATGTCAAATTGCTTAATGTCTAGGTCTGTCATTGATCGAAACCACATAGATGTGCAAGAGATTCACTGCCGTGTGTTGAGTGCAGGGCCATGCTGCAGTTTCTGTGTGTGTGTCTGAGTGTGTGTTTAATGGTCTGGGACTGAGTAGTGTCCGAACGAACTCTGTCTAAGATCGACTCCCTCATCTCTCCACGGTAATGCTGACCGAGGGAGAAATAGACCAACACTTTGTGTAATAGCTGTGCTGCCTATGCATATGATTACACACTGAATCATCACATACGTCTATTTTCAGCGGGGCCGATCATAAGCCACTATATTTCACATAATATACTTGCACCTCATGAGATCTCTCAGCATTGGAGCTCTGATGTGGAATCAGATAATGCCACTTATGCACTTCTGGCTTCATGTTAAAAAGCAAAACGGATCCAAAACCAGACTGAAGGTATTTAAAAAGGTCATGTCATGAAAAGTCAAATCTACCTCCATCTTTTAGGGTTCTATGCAAATGAGTGATCCCAATGTTAGGAAAGTTTATTTTTAACAAGGTATTTTAACCGTTCAAGTGGAACAGCAGCAGATCATTTCAGCGTGGATTGTTTTATGAATCTGTCACAAAGAGTCTGCAAAGACGATGTTACTGAAAGATTGCGCAGAGCCAATTACATTATACTTAACAATAAGCAAGGATACCTAATTCACCTGCAAAGACGTTAGCTAATAATAACAAAGAATGTTTTCAAATAATTCTTAAATAATTCATATATCAACAAATATGTAACATATGGGAAACCATTTTTTTTTTTTAAGTATTGTTTACAAGTAATTCTTAACTGTATCAACAATTAAATTGTAAGGGTGGAAAAATAACTGTTTTCAAGAAAACATGACTAAAGAACTGTATAGAGTCTCTGAAGTGGCATTCGCAGAAAATGTGAACTTTTAGTAAAATGTTCCATATAATAATTGTTTTTCAGGAAAAAGAAAAAGAGGGACTACATGATAAACTGACCACAAAATAAAATAATAATATAAAATAAAATAAATAATAAATTAAACAATAAATTAAATTAAATAAAGCTTATGACCCCAATTTCCAACAAGTCAGTGCTTCCACATCAGTACCCTGAAATACAAGACCGAAATTGCTATTAAAAGGGGCTGATGCATGTCAGCTTATGGAATATTGCTATGAATATTTCAGTGCTGTTATGTTTAAGGATTTCAAAGAGACCCTTTTTAATATCGATTTATGGTGCTACAACATTATATTTAACAGGCTGAAAAGAAAACCCACAACGCCTCAGTTTCTGGTTCTATATTGCAAAGAGCTACTTTACAGCCTATACAATTCCGATGTGAAAACGTACCATAAACCATAAATCGTTTACCTGTTACTGTTGCCCTCTGTAATCCAAGCCAAACGACCTTAAGCACTGACATTATAATGTGTTCCCAGTAATGTTGCAGTTGTGTGATTTTCGTAAGATTACAGAAAAGACCTGGCAACCTCTGCGCTTTAAGCTAAATCCTCTATACAGTTGGTTGTGTAGGTGTCTTGGCGTGGGAGTAATCACCCTTTGCCTTCATGAACATAACATATTAGCTTAACGGCGTAGTGCGGCACACGAGGCAGGGTTGTGACAGTATTAAAGAGGAATAATTACCAGCTAGCCTGGATTGCAGTATAAAGTATCATTTGAAGCCACTCTCTGAGCGAATCAAGTGCCCTTTTCTCTGTAATTGTTGCACCATGGGACATATGCTAATGCTATTTATGAGAAGGTGATCTAACAGGCTACGGGATTCGCTGCAGAAATTAAACTTATTTTAATATGGTAATGTAGTGACATTTGAACCGCCCTTAAATTTCCCGGCACAAATCACTGCAGATTTCTCTAACATTTAACAGCGACAATGCACAACAACAAGCAATTAAAAACAAGAGTGAGAATGCAGAAAAAAGCACATTAAACACAGGCCACACTGATAGCGAGCAATAGCGTCATACTTTCACAATTAACACCAACAACCGCTATTGCTCTGTTCCAAAACCTAGTAAACGGCCTACAGAGACAGCATTTTAAGGCATCACAGAAGCTCAATAGATGCCGCCTTATAAGATTGCTTGCTTTTAAAACAATCCTTGATGTATCCTTCACCTTAAAATTTTTCTTCTGTCATCAATTCCGGTCCGATTTATTTTATTCACTGATCTCATTATGCATTTAGGGATTTTAGGGATAATATTCACTATTATTCATCTTGCATCGGCAGTTTCATTAATGAATTTATTTTTATTTTTTTACTGAGCTAATTTTGGGATTGCACTAAATGTATACCGCAATAGAACGACTTTTCAATTTAATTCAGTATATATTAGCACACTACCATTATCATGGTGTAAACCTTCATATTCATATATTTTTTCATTTATATATATTTTATGCATTTATATGCTAATAATAGCATATAGAGATTTTTCTTGCATTGTCAATTTTATTGCTATTTTGGATTTCTTTCTTTCACTGAGATCACAACATTGAAAAACATGATATGTTCAATGCCATTCTAAACTTGCCAATGCAATAAAAATCTCAATTATTAATATACTTTTATTTTATTCAATATTTTGCTATTTTATTCAATACGGTGTTATTTTTAGGCTTATTGGAGTATTAGAGTAAATTCTCCTAAAATAAGTTATGTCTCATATTCTGTGAGCTAAAGTATGAGTTTTTATTTATTTATTTATTTATATTTTCTGCATATATACAGCACTCCAAATCAGTCTGTTGTTTTAGACAGCAGGTGGCTAAGTAGGCAGCAAGACAGCTCACTAGGTTTGGGAACAGAGCTTGTATTTAATCACTAATACAAACAAATCAAGATGATAGTTTCCGTGCATGTGCCAAAATGTGAATGACAAAAACCAAATGTTAAATAAATAAAGAAAAGCATATAACGACACAAATGGGATCAAATAAAAAAAAATGGTGTGCGAATGGGCTCAGGATGCGTACTGTGGCTAGAATTAAATATACAATACCCCACACTTAGAGTTCTCCAGGTGTGGATTTCTCTAGCGGACGCAGCCCAGAGGAGGAGAAATAAAAGACAGGGTATGAGTCTAGAGGTTAAGTAACACACACTCACACATGCACATACACACACACTAACATCACCTTTTCATACTTCACAGCATATAATACAGCATCTGAGGGTTTCCTTTGTGGTAGGCCAAACTGTGAGTGTACGTACTGCGCTGCATGCAACCCATTGAGCTTTGACTCTAGCTGAAATGGAGAAGCTTGAGTGAGCGGGTGAGTGCTGAGATGGAAATGTTACACTGTCCCATGCCTCACAAAGAAACGTTTCAGCACATTATACATCAGTCTACATTTTGAGCTGGGTTATTTACCTTAAAAACACACTATAGCCGGTGTACATATGACATTACCATGTGAGATTAGTTTTGAATAGTCAAGAACATGTCTGGGTCACATTTCACCCTAAAATCATAGAAAAAAAGACCATTCAAGAGCATTAAGCTTTTTTTTAAGATGACAATTAAGCACATTTTCCATCCAATTTTCATTACAGTAATGTGGAGAAAAATGTTAATATATAAATATACATAAACGAAAATAAATAAACAAATAAACACATAAATAAATAAATAAAGTATACACCATGGTCAATAGTATTGTCCTAATGTAGGCGGAATTTAATTGTAAAATGTATTGCAGTATTTAAAAATGCAATGACAATCAATTGAGAATAATGAGAATTATCTAGACATGTTACGGTAATGAGAATTTGAGGGAAAAAGTTTTTTTTTTTTTTGTCATGAAATAATGTCACAACAGCAAAAGAAATAGCCCCAAAACAGGCTTTTATTTATTAAAATACTTTGATTTTAGGGTTTAATGTGACCTAGACATGTTCTTAACCGTTCTTCTGAGACAAATCCTACAAGTTTTAAGGAAAAAATATGACCTGTTGTACATAACAGGTGGCATACAGAAATGTGAAACAGCACATTAGACTTAATGGAGAATTATGACCAAAGCATGTTCCTTTCAGGTCGTGCACAGTGTGTTTAGGTTTCCAAACTGAATGGCACCGGAGCCAAATCTCCTGTGGCTCAATGGAAGAAGGAGGCCACAATTCCAGTTTTAAGAGATATGCGAGCCATCCATTATTAATTACAATCTATCCTAGGCTTGGTCAAAGACGCCTGAGGGGACATTTTATTACCAAGAAGTAAAACATCAATTTGCCATTAGACTCAGCCTGTCCACTCCATTCATCCTTGTATTATTAGTTTAAAAATGAAGTCCATCTCTCCTGCCTTTAAAAAAACATGCTTTACACAAGCTCTGAGAGATAAAAAAGCATAGCGTATGAGTTTGCAAGCATTTTTGATGCCACAGAAATAATTCATGGTGACTGAAAGACATGTAAAACGCTGCAATTCACGAGACGTCATGGCCTGACTTAAGTGCTGGTGTCAGTGGCTAAAATATGAATGATCAAAAGATTTTGCCTTTTCTTGTTCGTGTGTAACTAGAGTGCAGACATCTACAATCATCGCAAATTGAATTCCTGAGTCCTCTGATGCTTAAAATGTACAATTCTAGTGCACTAGACTAGAGTTTGTTCCAAACCCTATTGAGCTGCTTCCCTAAACAGCTGAATATTTACTTAAAATTAGTGCTGTCAAAGGATTAATCGCGATTAATCGCATCCAAAATAAAAGTTTTTGTTCACATAATACGTACAGTATATGTGTGTGTACTGTGTATTACACAATGTATTATGTACATATAAATACAAACACATGCATGTATATATTTAAGAAATCAACACAATGTGCTTGAAAACAGAAAATGTGCGCTACCTGTATGTACTGATATGCTTGACCTTTTAAACCCAAAATTGGACATGGATAATATTGTTTGCGTTAGTCACGAAATAAACAAATATCCAGTAACAGGACTGTGTGCCATTCAGGATTGAATTGAGAATGCCTTTAAAATTCTAATTTATGTCCTAAATTTGAATTAAGGTGGGTAACATGATACACAATTTTAATGCAAAAAAAAATGAATTGAATTGAAATACAATAAATATTATTTGATTAAATTATTTTTATTATTCTTTTATATTTAAAAATGTAGCAGTACTTTTAAGCACAAAATCTTTTTTTATTTAAATAAAATTTACATTATTTATTTATTAAATTAAATACATTTATATTTAAACTGAAATTTTTAACCACAAAAGCAAAGGTTGTCAAGACAAATTTTGAATGTTTTGACAAAATCTTGTTTTAAATTTTAGATTTTTTGAAGTTTTGAAGGTTTATGGGCCTTAAAGAGAGAACAACTGATAAAATGATAGAATGATTGATATTGAACGACAGATAGACAGAAGGATAGAACAACAAAATGGCCAATTCAATTCAAATTCACATTCATGAACTAACAATTTAAATCTAATTTACATCAACTTTTGCACAATACAGCATGATTTTCTACTCTTTCACAGGTACTAAAAATATTTAATCCAATATGTGCATGCAATATGTATTTTTGAGTTTCTTAAGAGTTTGGAGTTGCTAACTCAGCAACATGTAAACACATACTCTGACGGTCTTAAAAGGCAGCCGCCTATATAGATTGCAGACAATGAAGCAGCTTACTAGGGTTGGGAACACAATGCTACAGTACGGTGGTGTCTAAATGCATGCATTATAGCTGTAAAGTTTTCAAAGCAACCACAGTCTGAGTTATTTGTGTGAATCCAGACTTGAGGAACTCTTGTATTTGCATATAACTTCTGTCGCTATGACTCCCACACATCAGAATAATGACAAAAAAGCACAAGCTATTATTGTAATATTCAAGCCTCAAGTTCCTGTCTTATGAATAGCAGAAGTGTCCTTCCTCCATCGGCTGTGGAAGACGAACACCTACTAAGGCCATTCATGGCTAACCTTTTGATTCCCGCTCTTTTAATAGCGAGATCTATCATTAAGTTTCAATTCACGCTGCTCCAGACAGTGACGCATTAACAATGGTGCTGTCAAGCTCTCCTTTACAATTCATGGTAATTAGAGCTTATTGATTTAGCTGGTGGTTTTAACCACTATTGTATTTCTGACTGTGGCTTGTATGGGCAATGTGCCGTTCGCTCTAAGGTCCCGGTTATCACCTTGCCCTTCTGAACAATCAAACGGGTTAAAAAACAAATGAAAAACTCCTAGCTTTAGGTTCATATGCATAAAGACGTGGTCAACTTAATCAGCTATTTGAGGAAAGCAGCATGAGTGCAAATCCTAACTATGCCATGAAGAACAGGAATAGTGCTTCACAGTGGGGTTCGAGTGTGATCTATAGGTTATTCATTATAGTCCATCTAATGCTACACAATGTGCAAATTATTAAATGAGTTTCAAGGAATTTACATGAGTTCTTAAAGAAGTAATCAAGTTTTTAAGAGGTTAAAATACTTTTTCTTGTCATAGTTTAATATGCAGAGATTGAATAAAAAAAAAAAAAAGAAGCAGCACACACATTGAAAATGATTGCAACCCCAGATGGTGTATTTCATTTGAGCACTTAAATTAATGATTCAAATCAGGTACAGGGCAGTTTATCATCTCGTTCTGAGTGCTTGGTATTGGAAGATGCAGCAGACTGTCCCATTCTGACATGAGCTTCTGAGCTTCAGTATATACAGTACACTTAAATTGGCTCTTTGGAATGCAGAAAGTGTGCTTAACTACAATGTGCATCTGGATATGTGCCTAGTTATAATGCTCGTCTCCATCATTTGATGAATTACTGCTGTCATGACCACTAGAAAATCTACAAAAACATTTTACGATAAAATTCTCTTTACCTCCAGGTTTTCTGTGGTCAATAAAAGTACAATGCTAATTGTATGAGGCAAATAGTCTGAATGTTTGTGAAGCATACAGCAGAAAGCAGTTGGCAAGAAAAAGAAAAAGAAAACAAAAACCATAAATAACTTGCGACTTGCTTACATTCTCAAACTAGTATACTATTTGAATGTAGCATACTATATTTAATATGACCAGTGGCCTATTTAATGCCAACATATTATAAATAATTCAATTTAATAATGTAAAAAGAGAGGCATACAACACACATAAACTAATTTCACATAAAATCTGAAAAGAAATTCTGTGAAAGTTCATTAATGATTTCCTATAAGACCAATATAATGTCATGTATTATTAATTATTCAATTGAAGAATGCAAAACGAGACATGCATATAACATGCATAAACCTATTTCACACAATATTTGAAGAAAATTCACTTATTAATACATTTCTAAGACCAATATAATGCCAATATAGTATAAATAATGTAATTTAATAATGCAAAATGAATCACGCATCAAAGTTCTGAAATTAAATGCTTATTTCACACATTTACTGAAGATTCACTAAAATACTTTAAAAACCGAAACAGTTTATTATTAAATATCTATATGTTTAGATAAGACTGCAGATAGATTTTGTAACAAGGGAACTACCACTTACACAAGTGCAGGAATTATATGGCTGATATATCGCTCTGTCTCTGATAGGATCTTTTCAACCCTATCCCTTCTACCTCAAACTCTAGTTGTGGCTTCAATTTAAAGGGTTCAAGCCTTAAATAGCAGGTCAGACAAACACCCCCGTAATTCATGCCTAGTCTAAATAAACCGTTACAGACAGACACTAGAGGAAAGATCTACGAGGAGCAAGAGCTGTGTGAGTGTCGGTGTGCGGCAGGGACGGCAGAGACACTATGGGAAGAGGTGGGCTCTTGTAAGGCACAATGACATGAGGAGGTGTGTTGGGGGGTGGGCGGTAAAGTTGGTGAGAGGAAGTGATGTAATGAAAGAAAGCCAGTGTGCATGTTTCACCAGGAGACACAAAAGCTGATTATGTCAAAAGCAATGCTAACTAACACCCTCAAATTCCTCTGAAAAGAAAAGCGCCTCAGCTACTGTACATTCAAATTCTATTATTCATTGTAATATTAAACGAAGTGTGTGTGTATATGTGTGTGTGTTTATGTAAGCAGTACCTGCGTTTGAAGGTGAGGAGAACGCCCAGGAGAATGATGACAAACATGAGGATTCCCGCAATGACGCCTGCCATCTTTACAGTGCTGTCCACCTGTTTTTCAGGCTCTATGTCATTGGAATTCTGGGTAGATGCACCTTTAAAGCAACAAGTACATCACAAAGAAGAGAAAGGGCCTTTAACTAAGACAAGAGCTGTCGAGAAAGGCTCTACGGTGACACACACAAAACAAACAAACACAAGAATCAAATGAAAACACTAACAGAAAGTACATAGAAGCACATCTCATGTTCTCACACTTTCATACAATACATACAACCAGACCAAAGACAGAAAACGAAAGACACACGCATTCAAAATCAAATTAATTAAATGCATTTAAATTCAGACAAAACAAATGCACAAGTGACATTGATCATTACTGTGTGGCGGGTTTATGGCAAAGGGGAATCGTTTATTGAATGGTATTAATTAACAGGCAACAGACAAAAAAAAAAAAAGACCTTAAGGAGCTTTTCAAATACTGGATCACTGTGGTGAAATGAAACACTTTAGGGCCTTTGGATTCTGGGTTAGAGAATGCAAAAAAACCAAAAGACAATTCAACACAAGGAATGCAGGCATGAAATATGGAAACAAGAAACAAAAAGAGGATGAAGGCAGAGATTCATGCAGATGTATGTGTGTCTTTGTGTGCATATGCGTGTTGCATACTTGCATGCAATATATTGTTATTGTAATATCTGTATAAAATCTGTACGACAATGCATGATTTTTAGAAAATACTTTTCAGATTAGCGTTGCTCCACACCAAACGGCTCATCTGCCTTCATCAGGCATGTAATTCTACTGTGAAATTGCCATTATGTCTATGAAAGAGCGTTAGCTGTTTGTTGTTCATATTTCACTGTTGAAAAGATCATAATCATCTTTGCATTTTATTTTCAAAGCCTGAACTAAATGAAACATATTCCACCATATAATAATGATATGATATGAAGAAGAAAGGTTGCATAGACTTCAAATATATATAGATATAAATAAATAGCCTAGTTGCATAATATATGTACAGATACACAAACCTTAGGAAAGCATGTAATCCCTGCGTTGAATGATTAAACAATTATGTTGTTATATTTACCTTCACTTCGCCTTTAAGAGAATGTTTTAACCTGCCAGTGTGACATCTTTAACAATCTGTTGCATATTAATGCATTGATCTCTCTATGTGGGCGGTTTGCTTTCATGTAAGCTCAATAATTAGATTTATTTATTTCCCTCAAACCGTACAGTTCTTTTAAGCATGAGCGAACATTAAACGTACAGACATTTCTGGAACAGTACGTTGAAGAGCTAAACCTTCAGAGCAAAACAAAACAGTATTTTTGTCTTGTTTTTCAGTACAAAAAATTTGTGTAAATATACATACACACACGAGAATGTTTTTGAATGTCGATGGAGTAAAAACTCATTCAAGATTCAGTAAATGTAAAAGTTTAGTAAAAGTTTTGCTTATCAAGGTGTTCTAAGGACGTTCAGATATGAACATGATAAAAAAAAATATTATGTATATGTGCTGACAGTGATTTCCAATGACATCAGTGATCAGAAGTCATTAATTTCCAATGGGTTTGCAATCTAAGGTGGCATAAGCAAACCCCTAAAAGACATCTGAGACTGGACTTTTAAAAACATTCACAACTTTAGTTTCTTTTGACCTTTGAAAAGAACACTGAGCCAATCTCTGCTAACCTTGCTAGTCTTTGGAGTGCTTTCCAGCCAAACACATTTTGGCTCCATCTACAGCTGTCAGAAAGTGAAGGGAGCGCTATGGACGGTCTATGCGGATGGACTATGTGTTCTCCTCTATCAACGTAGTAACTGAACTCCATGTCCTCCAGTCTGCTCTGATCTGATTGAGTTCAACAGTTCATGATTCACACACACAAACACTCACACACACTTACTCCATGATGGGGTTCTTTCAGTCTATGTTCTGATATCAACCTCCAAGACAGCGCTATCTTCACGACAATACAACAATATTAATCTTGACCAACCAGTTGACTCATTTTACTGACCCTTTAGAACAGAAAATCACTTCTCATAGAGCTCTATATGGCAGCATACACCTAAGAATTGACCAGATGAGTTTTTAGTATGTACATTTAAAATTTACTGGTACAAAAATTATCCGTTTAAATCTGTGTCCAATAAAATGCACTCTGTAAAGAAAATGCTTCCCTTTTGACCAGCAATAGCAAGCAGTAAATCATGGTTTTGGTGATGTGTCTTAAAGACTATTTGATGCAGTCACAAATAAAGGTTTACTGGCTTCTACAGTACCGTGAAGAACCAATAAAATTCAAAATTAATTCCTCAGATTATAAAAATGCTTTTCACACTAAGAAATATAACAGTTTTTTAAAAACTATTCACTGAAAGGTTCTTTAAAGAACCAAAAATGGTTCTTTTATGGCATCACTATGAAAACACACGTTTTGAATTGAATTTTTTAGATCTTTAAAGTGGAAAACGATTCTTGAGATTTTTTAAATGTTCTTCACACTAAGAAAAAAAAACTATTCTTTTAATGTTCATTGAAAGGTTCTTTGGAACAAAAATGGTTCAAACTACAGCTTTAAATAATGATTTTATAACAGTTAATTTCATACGTACCGCCCACAACCTAATAAAATGGTTAGAAAGTGATTCTAAGTGCTTGTATTGGTATAATTTTGACAATAATATTGGTTCTAATGACTCTTACACTCATATGAATCATAAGGATCTTAGCAATCATAGGTCAGCGATCCTGTAAGAGCTGTGCTATTTTTTATTTACCATAACATGTTATGTAAAATAATACAGAAAAACAATCTGCCCTTGATTATAGAAGCACTGTACATTTCCCTTCACCCACGAGCCCTGCTTGTATGCCCAATAAAATATGCGACTATGCAAATCCTTTTATTTTGAGGGGGTAAAATTAAGTATCAAAGAGGAATTATTATCAAAGCCCATCATATTAAAATTTAATCCCTACCATATACAGGGGGAGTTGGAGTGGGTGAGTTGCCATTTTAATTGCTGGCATTTTGCGATACTCTGTGTGGTTCTGTTAGCGTGTGAAATGGCACTTTTGTATAACTTTATTTAAAGCAGGTCTGTAGGCTGAGGGATTATGCAAAGGTTTATGCGGGTGCACATCATTGCTGACATCACTATTGCCATTGTTCTGCAGCTGACAGGATTACAGATGCGTCATTGGATGCATCTAACAGAATTATAATCTCAAATGGACTGGGATTAAGATCAGGCAGCCATATAAACAACCCATGATGCTAATATCTCAAAAAAGCATCCCCCTTCAGCAAATACAGGGAGGTTAATGGGTGGATTTTAAATACATTTAGTTCAAAATCCTTCTGTTTCTAATTCACAAGTGCATTTGGGTTTATATTTAAGCATTGTTGGTTTTGAGCATTTTGTTAAATTCCAGATGGGAGCATTGAGAAACAAAGGTATTTGTGTAAACTGACAATTGATTTCAAGCTCAAAGTGCACATGCATAATGCATGATGTCTTTAGTTTGTTTCTTTTGCCTGTTATTGGAACTGTTGCGATAATGCAGCAAACACAACTAGATTGTGCTTTTTATTGCATAGTGAATATTGCTGGCCCAAAAAAATGTCTGGAAAAGCCACACCTAAAAATATCTGAATTTCATTTCACAGAATGAAAATATCACAAAATATCAATCCAAGTTACATCTGCCATTAAATAATGTTATTTCTAAATGCATTTTGTAGTTAAGTACTGTGCAAAAGTCCAATATTTTGTATTTGTGATCTTTCTTTACAATAAACCCCACTATGCATACGCTAACTAGTGCAATGACATTCATGCATATTTAAGTTTCAAGTGTCGAATTACTTTTTGGGGCCACTGTACACTCAAATTCAACTCTTAAAATATACTTATGATCCTTATAACTGCATGTCAAAATATGCATTTAAAACGTAAATGACGAAAGCTGTAATCTGCATAATTCAGACGATTAGGCATTGCAACGGTTCACTAGCTGGCTAAAAGTCGGCTATCTCCTGTGCAAAGCAGATATCCAGCAAGACCCTTTAGAAATGTGAGATATTTTAGTGCAAGCAATTTGTAATTTCAGTCAGGGCAATTGAACATATTGCATATGACTGTAGAGTGAAATGGAGAAGCAACGAAACGTGGACCTTACTGCACTGGAACTAAAGAACTGACACCTGTGTGTGCATGTGTGTGTGCATATGTGTTAGAGATTGACATCTGATTAGAACAGCAAACTGCTTCAATACTGTATACTAAATTAATATTAGGAATAAATGAAGAATAATATGAACATACAATAAACAAATATAACAATGAAGTACTCTTCCCATTACAATTAAGCACAATTAAGTAGTCTTAATTATTCCGCACACATTGCATATATGCACAGGAATACATATCTAGAATAGTAAACGCACACAAACATACACATGCTGGCAAACACACTCACATGCGCGCACACACACACACACACACACATACACACACACACACACACACACACACACACCGGTTAGGCTGGCAGGGTCAGAATGTATGACTGGGGTCATGTTAGGTGAAGCGGTCACTTGCACATGTAAGGGGCGGAGTGTTGTAGGTAAGGCAACATATCACTTTATGCTTACATTTTGCTCAGAAACTTATTAAGCTCTACTGTAAAACATTTTTATGCATAACCAAACAGTAATTAAGTAATGGTCTGGGTAAAACAAAAATGAATTAATTCACTCCAGAACAATAGAAGGGCTATAGAGCTAAAGTAAAAATAAATAAATAATATAACATTTATACATAAAATTAAAATACATATAATTTTTTTATAAATAAGAAATACATAATGATTTTTTTCAGATCATTTAAAGCAAGATTATGTAATTTCTAAGTAGGCAATTTTCTTTAAAAGAGGATAACTGATATTAATTATGGATTCCATTTTTCAGAGCATAACAAGGTCATGAGCAAAACTATCCTAGAGAGGGGATATCTGTTGTTTTTAAACATGAAATATTAATAATAATACGATCATTTAAGACATGTGGGCGGCACTGTACATTCTCAGGGTCCCAAATTACAATAGTGTCAATGGAGTCAATGAGAACCAGCTAGACTTTTTAGTGAACCAGACATGCAAAAATGCATTAAGATGCCGATGGAGAAAAGCAGAATAAAGGAACAAGATTTGAAAAAAAAAAAAAAGACTGAATAAAAATAATAAAGTAGAGAAGGAAACAACAGCAGAAGAAATGTGGATGGGTGGAAAGAACAAAGAAGAAAGAAAAGTTTGACTATGGTATAATATTCACCTTCACTGGGAATGACAAGTATGTAGGGCGTGGTATTTTGTCCCCTACCTATTACCACTAACACAAGGTTTTACGTTCCAGGCCGGCATGCATGAGAGAAAAGAAGGAAAGAAAAAATAGTCTAAAGAATTATGCTTTCAACTCAAGCATCTGAGCTTCCTTCGAGTGAGTAACATTTGGCTGGAAAGGAAACTGAAATGTGTAGGATACAACAGGTAGGCTGTTTCACACGGGAAAAATAATATTACTCCAGAATCATCTAGTGGAACTGACAGAGTAAGCATAAGAGTTATAGAAAATTTTATAAATAGATATTTTTCATATGAATGCAAATATTTTACCAGTTGAGGCCTTATGTGGCTTTGAAAAATTGTTCTATCTGAGTCTCCAATTGTATGAAAATGGAAAAAATAAAAAAACGGGGGAATGCACTAAGACTGAATTGCGTCTGCTGTTGTTTATTTGTATTTGCATTGTTTTATCAGCCGATTCAATAAAGGAATTATGCAAATTAGGTAACTATGCCAATGAGACTTACAAAATTTGATCTGAATTCAAAATTGCAAAATTGCATGTATCAATTCCCCAGCTTGCACGCCAGGTTCTGAGTGCAAGGATGTGGTGGATTTGACATACTTAACTGATATAATACAGTTCTACCACTGCAATCCAAACACCTGAAAGAAATAGTTCACCCAAAAATGAGAATTTGCTGAAAACGTACGCACACTCAGGCCATCCTAGATGCAGGTTCATAAGGAGAGATCTGGAGAAATGTCCATCAATTAACATTTTGTAAGGTGAAAAGATGCATGTTTGCAAAAAACACAACATTAACTGATGGACTGGAGTGGTGTGGAATACTTGTGGATTGCTGTGATGTTTTTATCAGCTGTTTGGACTCTCTTAAGAAATGTGGATGGGTGGAAAGAACAAAGAAGAAAGAAAAGTTTGACTATGGTATAATATTCACCTTCACTGGGAATGACAAGTATGTAGGGCGTGGTATTTTGTCCCCTACCTATTACCACTAACACAAGGTTTTACGTTCCAGGCCGGCATGCATGAGAGAAAAGAAGGAAAGAAAAAATATTCTAAAGAATTATGTTTTCAACTCAATCATCTGAGCTTCCTTCGAGCGAGTAACATTTGGCTGGAAAGGAAACTGAAATGTGTAGGATACAACAGGTAGGCTGTTTCACACGGGAAAAATAATATTACTCCAGAATCATCTAGTGGAACTGACAGAGTAAGCATAAGAGTTATAGAAAATTTTATAAATAGATATTTTTCATATTCATGCAAATATTTTACAAGTTGAGGCCTTATGTTGCTTTGAAAATTTGTTCTATTCTGAGTCTCCGATTGAATGAAAAAAAAAATACGGGGGGAATTCACTAAGACTGAATTGCGTCTGCTGTCATTTATATGCAATTGCATTGTTTTATCAACCGATTTAATAAAGGAATTATTCAAATTAGGTAACTGTGCTAATGACACTAGAAAATTTGCATGTTCTACCACTGCAATCCAAACACCTGAAAGAAATAGTTCACCCAAAAATGAGAATTTGCTGAAAACGTACGCACACTCAGGCCATCCTAGATGCAGGTTCATAAGGAGAGATCTGGAGAAATGTCCATCAATTAACATTTTGTAAGGTGAAAAGATGCATGTTTGCAAAAAACACAACATTAACTGATGGACTGGAGTGGTGTGGAATACTTGTGGATTGCTGTGATGTTTTTATCAGCTGTTTGGACTCTCTTTCTGACGACACCCATTCACTGCAGATGATCCACTGATGAACAAGTGCTGTAATGCTACATTTATCTAAATTTGTTCCAACAAACAAACAAACAAACTCATCTGTATCTTAGATGGCGTGTAAATTTCCATTTTTGGGTGAACTATTCCTTGAATGAGTTATTTAAAATACAGAAACTACACTCTTTGATAACCAAAACATCTAGGCAAACATAACTTAATGGTATTTCAGAACACAGAGCTGGGTTTTACGAACAAGGCGTAACCTTAAATCAGTCTAGTGCACATAGAAAAGAGACGTGTTTGCATTCAAATGAATGGCAATTAAATACAGTGTAGCACTATTTCATTCTCAAAAACCGTTTAGTGAATTCACCCCGTAATCTAAAACTATTAAAAACACCAATATTAAAAAGGCAAGGAAAGGTTGAAACTCTCAAATGTCTGTATCCAAGGCATCACAAAGTGTAAAGCATGTGTTTCTAAAGCAGAAACACAAAAGTAATTGGTTTTTACAATCATAATAAAAACCCAACTCAGGACGGATCTATCTGGGATATGAAAGGAAAACAGGCCATGACCAAAAGAATAGAAAAAAAAAAGCCTGACATGGAGCAAAATAAAATGAGTTCAGCAAAACAAACAAACAAACAAACAGGTGTGTGCAGAAGCAAGCTTATTGAATAAGATGGAGAAAAAGCCAAAAGAAATGAAAGAAAACTGGAAAAGAAAGAATGGGGAAGGAAAAAAAAATATGATGAGTCTGTAGCGCTGCACGGCTATAGTGTCTCTTTATCTGTGATGTCCATTAAATAATAGAAAGTCTCTTGTGATTGCTCTGTTCCTGGAACTGATTATGTAAAATGGTCTTTTTACGGAGAGAAGGGGAAATGAAATGGAGCAAAAGAAACTGAAAAGAATTGTTGGCCAGAGGCAAATAATCATGCAGGTAAAATAAAATGGGATTTCAGATTTTTCAATGAAACCAAAAGCACTAATCTCAGTCTGATGCAACTGAGCTTTGTCTGAATGTACAACTTAAATGAAAAGGTTTCGTCCTTTTTTTTTTCTTTCTTTCTTTGTACCTCATCATGTTTAGTAATGGGTTCCACTATAAAATCAAAGGTCTATTAAGAATACAGAGGACATGACATTTCTAATATTACATCTGCTTAATTCCAACCAAAACATTATTTCATTGAATTTTATTGATTGATTGTGTTTAGCTACAGGGACTTAAATAGGACAAAACTATCCAAATATCAACCCAGCCAAAGAACTTTTCCAAAGCAAGTCTCATCTGGATATACAAAGGGACAGGCAAATAAATAAACGAATAAATCAATAGTAATTAATAATAAAATGTTTCATTCATACAAGCTAAAAAAATAAGTGAAACAATTCTCATACCTTTGGTAGCCAGTCGCACACAGTTGATTTTGGTTTCCTAGAAGAGGAGAGGAAAGTTTGTGTTTTAATTAAACGTCAAAACGGCACTGTATTGAGGAACATTGTTTTTGTCAAGCTACAGTGATCTTAGTAATTGCAACACAATGAAGTGCGGGTTATTTTCATCACGAGGTGCATGACATTAAGAAACAGTTAATTATATAACAACATTTCTAATGATAGTGAAGGGTTCCCAAATGCAGTGCTAAGGCCAAAACAGAGAGAAGCTAACATTATAGTTCAGTTTTCCTATGCATGTAAAGTCACTACAGCCAAGTTAAAAACATTTAAGGTCATAAGACTTGACCTGAAAAAAAATGACCTGATTTTATTCCTTAAAAAATGACTTTTGATGGCATAACCCAATGTAGTCATGTTTTTTGAGTCATATTTAACATTAATATGAATAAAACTGCTAATTTAGATAGCAACACATTTTCCTATTCTATTCTATTCTATTCTATTCAAAAGCATTTTGGTATGGCTGCCTTTGGAATGCCAGTTATGATGATAAAATTCTCACTTGCATCCTCCGAATGGCACGTGTGGCGTGACAGGTGTTAATTAGTCGGCAGATTTCGGTGTGAAGTCTGCATGGAAGTTTAGAGCTCTGAGACAGGAAGCCAGATGCTACCATGTGTTTCTGTGAGCATGTTTACAACAGCCACTTGTTTTGATTAGATCTGCTGTCCTTGTGCACCTCATCTCAGCAGGCACGCAAACAGTAATGCCTACACATCACAGGGCCTTGAAAGGTTTTGCTAATAGCAATATTTCAGAAAGTTATATTGTATAGCAGCTGTATTATACATCTGAAAAGAGTGTCAGAAGTACATCATCTCAGCATTGCCACAGGAGGCTCTATAGCATAAATTATTTTCTTCTGTGCTCATTTTTCTCTTTTACGTAAACTACTAATGTCATGGTAGAGCAACTGTTTGACAAGAATCTTACTGAAAAGATAAACCGATAATAACAACGCAGCAATGCAAGAATGCAAAAAATGAAAATTCTGTCATTATTTATTCCCCTTCATGTCGTTCTAAACCTAATAAAACATGAGAGGTTTCTGTCACTCCATAGAAAGTCCAGGTAACCGAACCTTAGAAGATCCTAAAAGGTCATAAAGGTGTCATAAAAATCCATATGAATCAAGCAGTTTAATCCAAGTCTTGAGACAACATTTGCTTTATATGATGAACAGATTTATTTTATGTGTTTGTTCTAGTGCTGCCAAACGATTAATCGCGATTAATCGCATCCAAAATAAAAGTTTTTGTTTACATAATATGTTTGTATACTGTGTATATTTATTATGTATATATAAAAGCACACACATACAGCATATATTTTGAAAATATTTACATGTATTTACATGTATATGTTTATATTCATATAATTTAGGCTATATGATATATAAATATATTTAAAATATAAACATTACATATTTTTCTTAAATAAATAAATGCATGTGTTCGTATTTATATATACATAATAAATATACATGGTACACATATATTATGTGAACAAAAACTTTTATTGAATGCGATTAATCGCAATTAATCGTTTGACAGCACTAGTTTATTCATATATAAACACATACATAGAGGCATCATGTATGGTAAACACAGAACCTAAAACATGCTCTCTATTTATGTGTCGATCACTGTTTAGATTACAATAAAAGCCTAAAGCCTAAACCTGTTCATCATATAAAGCAATAATATCTCTTCACAAGACTTTGATCATATTGATTCATTTTACAACACCTGGACTTTCGATGGAGGGACAGAAAGCTCTCAGGTATCTTCTAAAATATATGAATTCGTATTTTGAAGATTAACCAAAGTTTAATGAGTTTGGAACAACATGACAGTGAGAAAACGATAACAGAATTTTCCTTTTTGGGTGGACTATCCCTTTAAGTTGCACTTGCAATGCACTGTCTGAGCATTCACACCTGTGCACGTGCACATGCCCAGAGTGTGCTTCTACCCTAATAAGTGCACTACAAGTTTCATTAGATAAAATCATCTGCTGAATGACAGCCTAGTACTAAATAAACCCTTCAAATGTTCACAAACACGCAGTTCTCAAAATTCACTGCTAATTTTTTTTTTTTTTTTGCTTGCACACTCGTTTTATGCGTATTTGGCGCCACCTATTGTTGTGGGTGTATTATTGACATGTCAAAGTCTAGACCCTGAATATAAGACGACCGCGTTTTTTCAGATGTATTTCCAAGAAAAAAATATCGTCTTATATTCGGGACAATACGGTAATCTGCCAACTGATTCTTTACAAATTCAGAATGTTGCTACCCAGAGACGTGACAACACAGACAAAAAATAGTTTGTTAACATGGTAAATACTTGTTTTTTGACGTTTTTGTTTTATTAGATGTCATTATAAAAGTAATGCACTGGAATAAAAGTTGATGATATAGCCAGTATGAATTTGCCAAAATGTTGCTATGGTATTCTGGGTGATTGCTAGGTGGGTTCGCACAGGCCCAAGTCAAAAGACTCAAGCATGGAGTCTATTGGTGCGTTCACGCCATATCGGAATTCCCGTAATTACGAGATTCCAACTTGTAAAAAGCGTTCACGTCCTCGTAGAACTCGTAATTACAACTTGTGAACTGGGAGTTTTCTGAGAGCTACGACTTGTACCACCTGACCACCGCAGGCTCTGTTTAGGCGTTGATAGTGTTGCCATAGAAAAGCATAATTCCGAGTCCGAGGACGTGAACAGTGCTGTCATCTCGAAATTAGATATTTCACTGCTAATTTTTTTTTTTTTTTTTGCTTTATTTTTGCACCACTCAACATCACTTTGCTGTATGCTGAATAAATCATTCAAATTACCGTATTGGCCCGAATATAAGACGAGCCTGATTATGAGACGAACCCCCCCCCCCCCCCCTCTCTCT